TAATAATAAAAAAAACTTTATTGTGGTAAACGAAATAATAACTTGATCTAAGTAAGAGTTTTTTCTTCCCGATTCGTAAAGCATCCTTACATGATATGAAAAAATTAATATTATTATCGAAATCTGCGTAGCTGAATTATGTGAAATCCGTTGTTATTAATGAAATTTAAAGAAACTTAATTTTGTATTCATTTCCGCTTTTCCATGATCGAAAGGTAAGAGAAACTATTTATAGTTAAAACTACGCAATGTTCGAAATAAAGAGCTTTAACTATATTGGTTTTAAGTGAAATAGTTCACAACACGTTAGTTCTAAATTATTAAGCGCTCTGTTGTTCATTTTGAGTAAATAATCTCAAATATTCGTCCGCATTGAATTATAAAGATACAAAGAAACGTTGTTCTTTTTAGGTTTTTAATAAAAAAGAAAAGTAATAAGAGCTGTAGCACAATGATAAAATTTTTTGGCCCTTCCTTTAATTTATCATTTTCAAATGTCGTAAGTTCAAGTTTAAATGAAAAATGTGTTAGAGCTCTCATGGTTTGATTAGAAATTTTCGGGCTTATCATATTCTAAGCCGAATATTCTACTAGCTAGTAATTGGCTAAATTATTATGATTATATATGGAATAGAATGTAAGGATAACAAAAGTAATATATTTCGGATGACAGATTTAAAAGTGTGCATTTAATTATCGGACTCAGAGTTTTATGTTTATGTTTGTATATTAATGATCCATTTATCTACAAAAACTGACTGTTTAATCTGTACAAAATATCACGTCGATAACTGCGTTGGCGATAATAATTCAGGATGGAGATATGTATGGTATTTATACTTTAAAAAGTATCGCAGCTGCCTTATTTCTATAAAATACAGCATTGATAATTGCACTGATAATTTAGGATAACACGCTTTTCCATTGAACATCCAATTTTATTTGATGATAAATTTAAATGTACTCATTAGTTTAGAAGGAAAATAAAATTATCCTCAAAGTTATTTTAGAAAATTATCATCTTACTCTGCACAGTCTGAAGTTTATATTATGTTCTGTTACGGTCGTAGGAGAAACGAGATAGATTTAGTACAACGTAATCATATGCATATTTTTTTTTTATCTCATGCCCAAGTTATTACTGTTGGATGATTTTACGCTGTTGCAAAGAAACGTGATTGGTAGAATTTTTTTTTAGTTTGCAATATCCTATCATTCTTTGTAACCTTTCGAAGAAGTTTGGCGTTGATTCCTAATTGTCTAGTGCTGTGAAAATAATAATAAAATCAGAACACGTTTCTAGACGCAGGAAAATGACACTTTTCTCATAAGTGCTGGAGGAAATAAGATCGTTGTGTGGAACTTCTACTCGAAAAGAAGTGAAGGATACCATCCACGTGCCAAAGTGCGGAAAGTTGACAATCACAAGGACGTGGCAACGTGTCTGGCGGTGTCACGTGATGGTAGCCTAGCTGCCTCAGGTAGGGTTCGATTCGTTGAGATAGTTTTCTAGAAACAGCCTACCTTTATATTGATCACTTACATTGAGATTGTTATCTTCATTAGACATTACGTTTTTAATACATTTTAGTCACCTAAACACGTCATCCTACTGCGTGGATACAGAGTAAATGAGAGAATGCTTCTACTAATTAAACTTCCAAATACCCTTCTTTAAAGCAAGGATTAATTAAGAAGATATAAAGTGGTAGTGGTATATAAAGATTGGGCTTTTGTGCGAGATCGCGTGTATAAAATTGAAAGAATATAATAGAAAATAATATTCAAAAGTTTTGGAAAACTTAAAATGAGAGGAAATTAGTTAAAATTAAAAGATACAAAGAAAACTATATAATGCTTGGAGACGGCTTGAATGGGTAATGAAGAAAACTTCCCCATTCCCCATTCAAGCCGTCTCCAAGCATTATAT